TAAGATAGAGTGACCAAATCAGGACAACATCACCAGGCCTGGCCATCAAACAGAAGACTGTTGTCCATATTCGAGAGCCACATGGATCTGTATGCAGTGACCATGACCATGATACTCGATAGGCACTTGGATACCCATATGTGCACAGAATATGATTGGAAAAACCTCAACCAAGACAGAGGCACTGAAAATCTGTCTCCAGTGGCTTGTTTAAACACGGCTACGAATCCCACCAGACCAAACTCACACAATCCACTACAAACGAGCTGTAAATGGTCAGCGTTCTGTGTTCGAAACGCTGGACCACATTCCTCGGCAAAGGACATCACGGGTGTGCAAGGCATATCCTTGGCCTGAGAGTACACCATGACGATTGTTCCTTCATTTCTCTAACCAGTTGGGTCCACACTTGAGGTCCATAATCAAGATGGAGAGCAGCCAGCTTGCTCTATAGGAACGCATGCGACAATGTTCAGTAGACGGCATAATCCTGACTCCTGCATGGACAAAAACAAAATGAAAAGCCACACCTAGTCATAAGCATCGTGACTAGTATACATGTAAACTACTACAAGTACAATGTATTCTGAATGCAATTGAACCTCAGAACATAAGCCATACCCCTGGCAACTGCATACCGTAGTTCCGCGCATATAAGCCCATGGGCTAATATACGAAATAATGCATTTTCCCGGAAAAAAATCAGTAATAATGGTTCGTTTTTTAGCCCTGGGCCTATATTCGAATTTTGAAGGCAGCTGGCACGCGAAAAAGTACAAGTCTGTGCGCGGTTGTCCGCCTACCGTAGGTACCGGTACTGGTAATGTAGTCTGCACTGACATGCTGTACTATCGGTTCCGTATTAAACGGTGTTTGGGTCTGTTCATTAGCCCATGGGCCTATAAATGGAGGTGGGCTTATATCCGGATATAGGCCCATGGGCTTATATGCGCGGAACTACGGTACTCACGGTGGAAACTAATTCAAACTTCACAAAATGGGGTTTCCAGTACGTTTTGAACTCAACATCGATAACGAGTAATCTATAACGTAACGATTATGAGGAATTATTGATCAATGACCGAGTAATCGGTATAATCGTTTCAGCCCTACTTGTACTTCATAGGTGAACCCAATCCCACGAGCCACGACACGCTGATACCACCATATGCCATTTTTACAGGGTTTAATGCACAGCTTCCATATTCCATACTGGTAACACAACTACAAGCACATGTGCGTGCCTCTATGTGAGACCAATCGACCTGCAAAAGTTACAAATACGGCAAAAGCGTGTGTATAAGCGCATGGGCCATTACGATATGGTCCTCTTGTCAGGGTCTGTTCACTGTAATGCTGTCCTTTTTTTCTTGGCTTACGGGGCAGGAATATCTCAACAGGAATGTCCCCGTTGTGTTGGTGATGTGCAAGCGGCGTGGGTCGGATAAGAGTGCAGTGTGGAATGGTGGAGTGAGTTAATTCACCGAGAAACGATGAAAGTAATAATTGCGCCTGTCAAACACCATGAGACTCCAGAACATGTCTTTGTCTATGGAGTAAATAAGAGTGCATACATACATATTTAATTCTACCCAAATTCCCATGACTACCATGTATGAACTGCAAAATCGGGTGAAGTGCCTCAATGGACATCGCTCTGAACTACAATTTTGACCCTCGTTTGCAGCTGATCTGAGAACGTGATCAGCCTTTTGAAGTGTATTTGTTCACATTCAAAACACCTATTAATATTTGTAACATCGTAGATAATTGTTCTCAAGTTTACGAGAAGAAAATCAGAAATCCATCAGCCATACCAGTTTTCGTGATTCTCGTGCATTGGCAACTAGGGTATTAGGAAAAATTCGCCAAATTTTTGGGCAAGTTACTATCAAGACAATTTTTGCTTTATGAGCCGCCTAGGACAATGGACTATACATACCTGAGGTCTGGACGGTGTCCGGTAGTTCACTTTTGGTTCTCACGCCATCAAGTATTTTGGCATCCAAAAATCATAAATTCTGGACGACGCAAAATTGAGAAAAGTGGCTCTGCTGCAACATGACGGAAAAATCTCTGGCGGAACGGCTTCCAGATTTTGTTTAGGGACTATCCTAGCCCTCAGCAGGCCAAGTTACAATAGCATTCATGAAAGTCTTCCATGCCAAATCGAAGACGATCAAAATGATGATTCCGCTCAAAATTGGTCACAGAAAAAGTCGAAAAAAGCGGCGTCGTCATCTTCATTTTGCATAAAGATTCGGGTCATTTTTGGCCCTTGGCGCATGGACTGATCTGGATCGATCTGGGACGGCGACCGTGGATGAATCTTCATCGGTAATGGCTCGGCAAACTGCTGCTGATGCACGAACCAACACAGTCGCCATACGGCGTGGCACGTCGTGCCGTTACGCTGTGTGGAGTGGCGCTGTTGCTGGCGTGGCTGGAGCATTGTTGATCCCGTCAGTGATGGCCTTTTCCGCATGTGTCTCTATTCTCTGGTCGCTCGTCAGGGCGCACTTGGAGGACCTTCACTTGGCAACGACTGGCTGCTATTCCCCCGAACACAACGACCTGGTTGATGTACCCGATGCAGATGATGACGGAGAATACCTCGACATGGCCAGTGTATTGGTACTAGAAGTGCACGAGCATCCATCTGACGAGCTCCCGACCAAGCTTGATGTGCTGGTGGAACGGCAGGAAATGCAATATGGATAATACGATGATGTAACGAGAATGTAGTACGTGTACAACTTAGCCGAGAGTACTGACCAGCATCTCAGCTAAAGAAGCTACTTGTAGCAACAGGAGTATAAGCTCCCTGGGAGCTTATAATAATTATACGTTTGGTAGTACTTGTAGTAGTCACTAGTAAGTAGCAGTGGAGCGTAAGTAGATGCCCTGGGCTGAAAAGTGCCTACAATGCTCAGGCCCCCGCCTCGAGTCGCCACGTCAATCTGCATCATTACATCATAACGGATGTCAATCTGCATCATTGCATCATAACGGATGTCAATCTGCATCATTACATCATAACGGATGCATGTGAATTGTGAACCTGCTTGCAGCTCCACTTTCGCTTGGCCACATCAACCGGCACCAGGCAGTCCTCGGCATGGCCATGGGTCTTCTGAATGATCAATTGTTCACACGTGAGAATCCACACGGCGTGTGGTAGTCATATGTACTTCTCTGTCTCCGTGTAATGGATTTCGCGACAGAATCAAAGGCAAACAGGAATGAATATGATGCACATGGTTCATGCACTGGCTTGATGAATTATGACTACGGACTGCTGGTTAGATGAACAGAACTAATATTGACTTGATTTGAGACTTGTACTGATAAGATTTTGTACAATGGTACGCATACTGGGATACTGTACTGGTGTTCAGAATGATCAAAGTGAATTGTGTCGTACATTGCTGCAGCAGACATGCTGTTGGTTGTGGACATGCTGTGCTGCACTCTGGACTGTGTGGTGTGTGTGTGTGGGTGTGTGTGTGTGTGTGTCAGCGTCGCCTAGAGTGGCTGGGCCATGTTGCCCGGATGGACAGCAGCCGGATGCCGAGGCAGATCCGGTTTGGCTCACTTCCCACATGTCGCCCAGCACATGGCCCTCGCAAGCGCTGGAAGGATTGCGTTGTCTCCAACCTAAGAGTACACAGCCTCACCAAGGACTGGTATCCTAACGTTATCGCCTGTGAGTCCCGCGCTGACTGGTGGGCCATGTACGCCGAGCCTGTGGAGAATGTGCCTCAGCCTGGCTCAGTGGTATTTGCGGATTGCAATCGGTCATTCTCACGCCCTGGAGATAAATGTGTGGTTTCGCGGGCAAGCCGATTGCTGAGCAGCGAGGGGCTTGCCACTGTGGAGATTGTGGGAGTTGGTTTCGCAGCAAGGGTGATCTAGCTGTTCACCGCTGTTCCCCTTCCCAGCCTCAGCCTCCTGAGCCCCGTCAAGTCTAGGTCCAGGATGCCTGCTGTGCTGCGCACTGTGCTGTCGGTGCCCGCCGCTTTCGGACTGTGCAAGGCCGGGGTCGTCACCGGTGCTCGAGGACTGGCCCCCGCCCGACTGCCCAGCAGCGTAATTCGTTCAGTCATGTATGCGTGTGTTCTCGCCGGTTCCGTTTGCTCCACCATCTCCGGCGTCATCAGGCTGCGTGCTCCATCTTCTTCTCTGACGCCCACGTGACCCCTGTGACAGTGGCTCTACAGGACAGGTGTGTGTGTGTGTGTTTGTGTGTGTGTATGGGTGTGCACGTGAGGGTGAGAGAGGTGGGGGCACACTTCCAACGATGCTCCAATAATGTAAGTTACAGGGTCCTTGGGCGTGCACGGGCACTGGCTGAGGAACATCGCAGTAGCATGCGCTGAATAAAACAAAGCATGTGAAATAAGTGAAAAGTGACCATTGCTCACAACCACCACTGTGTGCATGTGCACGTACACCTAAACTTGTGATGAGCAGAGAGCTACACAGAATGACTACAAGTGTCTGCTAGACTTAGGGGTCGCCGCAATCGTTTTTTTGTCGTCGCCGAAACGAACATCATTCGTTGGGGGGGGGGGGGGGGGGTGCGAGCCGAAATTGCAAGTCGACCGTGCATGCGATTTCCGTCGTTCAGCATAATAAGCGGAGTTCGTCTCAGAGGGAGGGGAGGGGTCAGAGTTCGAAATGAACGATGTTCGTTTCAGGGACAACAGAAAACTGTTGTGACGACCAAATAGAGCAGAGACTGTGCCAGCGCATCAATGAGGTTCTGGCTGAAAAGCCGCCCAGTACGCTCTTGCCTGCCCACCAAGCCGCCCCAGTACGCTCTTGCCTGCCCACCAAGCCACCCTAGTACGCTCTTGCCTGCCCACCGAGCCGCAGGGGCAGGTGTTCCACAATACTAGTACACCATCTTCCCGCGCCAAGACAAAATACGCACATACACACACACACACACACACACGCACACACTCACGCACACACACACAGATATACAGCACTGCTTAAAGTATGATATAAAGGCTCAGTGTGTCATCCACCAAGAATGCCAAGGTACAGTTAGGATAAATAATGTGCGGTGAAAGAACTAAAAAAAGGGGGTTTGGAAAGATCAACACACACACACACTCACACGCGTGCGCGTGCGCACGCGCACACACACACACACACACACACACATGCATGCACACACACACACACACTTTTTCACCTAAGCAACATCGATAAAACTGCTAATTTGGGAGTATTGAAACAGATAACACAGGAAAGCATCAACATCAGGCGAGACGCCAGCATGGCTTCAAACTATACATACCAAACATGGAATTGGCCATGTTGGCACAGGAAGATCTGTTCACACTGTTATACACGAACATATCCTCCATGTGAGTTCAAGCACGTAGCTTTTGATACATTGTCCGCTGGCTTCACAGTACAACACGTGAGTAAGAAGAGCCAAGAAGCACCCAGGCCGCACCGAGCAACATCTTACGAGACTGACGGCACACAGCTATTTATCCTGTAGATTGTCCGCTGGCTTCACGGTGGGAGCAAGACGTGAGTAACTAGAACCAAGACGCACCCAGGCCAGACCGAGCAAGAGACTGACGGCACACAGGTCTCAGTCCTGCAGGTCGCGCTGCTCCGTGACTCGGCTGCCGAGCAGCCGCTTGAACGCCATTGGCATGAGCGCCATGACGGCGATCAGGCCGATCAGGCCCACGGCGCGGAGCGTCAGCAGTTCGGTGGCACTGGTGAGCTCGTACAGCTGTGTACCGGACATCACGGCCAGTGCGCTGGGCGGTGCAACCCCTGCGGAGTACAAGATACCAGAAAGTGGGTTTGAACCGAGATGGTGAGCCAAGAAAATTATTAAATTGAAAGGATAGAAACCATGGGGCACAAGTTATGCGTTAGAGTCCACCAACTACTAGTAGACCAGATTTTGAACAGTCAGACGTGCACAATTTAGCACCAGACTGACAAGGAATACTGAAACATTCCACGTCATGGAAGTGAGCTTGAGCACTGCTCGATAGCGCTAACCAAAGTCTGTTTGCTAGGGGTGAAGCGATTAGTTCGAATATTCGAGTATTCATTCGAAAATTTCGAACGAGGGAGTATTCGAAATTTTGCACTCGATCGGTTTTTTGTTTTGTTTTTGTTTTTAGTACTGGTGAAAATCGTTACTTTACACTCTGTTCAAGACGTTGGCGACTTTTGTTCTATGTTCACAGATAATTTCTTCCGAATTGGTCGAGAACTCACAAATCTAGCGCTTTTGAATTTTGATAAAATACTCGAAATAATCGGATACTCGATCGAATATTGTGAATGAGTGATCGATTGGTCAAAATAGATACTCGTTTCACCCCTACTGTTTGCTTTACTTCAATTCACCAGATACTGCCATCTGCCATCTGCCATCTCGTCTAACCAGATGGCTAGATCCTTAAAAAAATGACGAATATAAGAGTAAGGAGGCATGCTATATGAGGACAATGATGTGCACATGCACTGATGATATTAATATGAAAATAATACAAAAGAGAAAGGACCAAGGAACTACAAGTTACGCTATTCTGCCCACTAACACCAGCAGTTACTAACAATCAGCTCATGTGATAACATTGCACCACACTGACCGTATAGCGTAACTTGTAGTTCCTTGGTCTTTTCTCTTTTGTGATCTATTCATGTAATGAATTCAGTTACTGTTTAGCGTAGGCGCACATCTTGCAACTACGTATCACCACTCGACGGACAATTCAAGCAATTTATATCTGACGAAGTCCAGAAAGCCGTCACCGCCGCCCTGGCAGAAACGGTCTCCCCACTGCTTGACACCATCGGATCCTCGCAGCCTTCCCCCGCCATGGCTGTACCCGCCGGAAATGCTGCGTCAACTGGTCCGGGTGCTGGCTCTCTATCTCATCCACTGAACGTGCCGTCTCAAGTGAGAGAGAGAGGATTTTGCGAAGTGAGTGTGTTGATTTGAATACACTGTTACCGGAAGCTCTTGGGGCACCAAAGCGTGACACGATTCAGTTGAATTTCAGTGGGTCCAGGACTATTGAGCTGCTGGATCCCAGCTCTGGCAGGCATGTCGAGAAAGTTCGTAGGCATGTTCACGACCTGGTTACATGGCTAGAAGCCTGGTTCAGATATATGTTTGTCTTATGCTTGCACGCACCCAGCCGTTTCTCCGAACTGATGGCATATCAGGCCACCATTGTATCGGCCAACTCCTCATACTATCCGGAGGCCTGGCTCGAATATGACCGGGAGTTCCGTCTGGCAATCTCTCTTGACCCCAGTAAGCGTTGGGACGCCATTGACGGCAATCTCTGGCAACTGAAAATGACAGGCCCCTCACGCCCGCAGTGTAGCACGTGCCGGATCACTCACTCTCCATCGGGTAGCCAGTGTCCTTTTCGTGTCTCCCGAGTCCCAAACCAGCAGTTTGCACCACGGTCTGCATACACCAAGTCTGGCAAAGAGATCTGCCAGAATTTCCAGCAAGGTCGATGCTCCAACACCGACTGTAAATTTGCCCACGTCTGCTCCCAATGTGAGGGCGCACATGCCCGCCCCTCCTGCCCGCGTCGCTTCTCCACTGGCAACCAGCGACAGAACAAAGCTTAATAAACTGCATCTCGATAGTAGCATTCTCCGGACACACCCTACATTCTTTCACACTTGCCGCACACCTATTCACGTTAATCGCCTCCGTTCCTTACTGCGCGCACACCCCGATCAAGCTTTTGTTAAATATCTACTTCATGGTCTTATGTATGGTTTTGACATTGGCTTCTGATACGACAGCTGTTCTTCATGTGCGCTGCCTTTGGCTTCATTCTGTCAGCAAAGCATATTCCAGGATGCACTAACAAAGCTACTGATGCTCTGTCTCGTTTTAACATGCAGGCGTTTCGCGAGGCGGTTCCGGGAGCTCGGGCGACAGCTGACCTGTTCCAATCATTCTAACTGCCGCGGACATATTAGCAGCAGGATATGCTGCTCATGCTCATGCTATATCCGACAACACCAGACGAACGTATTCCGCCGGCGAATCTAAGTATCTCAAGTTCTGCCAACTTCAAAGATGGTCCCCGTTTCCCGCTTCAGACCTAATGCTGAGTAGTTTTGCTGCCTCCCTAACCCAGTCGGCCAGACAAGTGACTATTAAGGTATACCTCAGTGTTATCAAGAACCTGCACCTGGAGCTTGGTTATGTCGACCCGACCGAGGGCGCACGCTTCCTCAAGCGAGTGGTACGCGGTATATGCCGTTGCCATGGAGTAGCCGCTGTCCGCCCCAGGCTGCCAATCACGTTTCCTATTCTCTGCAGTCTGGTTGACACCTGCCTAGCTGCTCCAACCATGTGCCCTCACGACAAGCGCTGTACATGTACTCGCTCATCAGCGAGAGGAACGTGCTGGATTCGACTACAATTTCCTTCGTTCTCTGCTAAGCCTGTAGAAGTACCCCCTCTACAGTACACCATTTAGGAGCTGCATCTGTCCCTTGATTCTGGGGGTGGGGGTGGGGGGTGGTTTAAACTGGTTTTGAATTTCATGATATGATTGTATTGGTGTATTATGACAATAATTTTGCCGCGTACAAGAGGCTTTGTATGCCAAGGGCCAAACAAAATCTGGAGGGTGGTAGCATTCCTACGAATGCGAACAACTCAGTCCAAGTCTCACGCGAACTGTGGAATTTTTGTAAATACCCCCTCCCCTCCCCTATCCAAAACAGAAAACAAACACGCCTGTCAAAGACGATCAACATAAGTGAACACGCGAGAATTGCTCAGCTCCACGGCCAACAGCATAAGACAGGATAGATGCACTGGACTTACCAATAAACGTGCCCAGGAAGAAGATGGACAGCGGGAATCCAATCACCGGCGAGGCAATGTTGATTGACCAGTTGGGAAGGAACGGAGTGATGCGCAGGAATACCAACGTACTCAGCAGCTCCACCCAGCCATAGTGGGAAATCTGAAAATGTACGACGACACACATCATACGGGCACAAACAGACAGAGAGACAGACACGTCAACAGATAGACAGACAGATAGATATATAGAGAGACAGACAGACATGCCGACAGATAGACAGACAGACAGACAGACAGACAGACAGACAGACAGACAGACAGACACACACACACTAACATAATAGGCATCCATCAAAGTTAAATGACAATGGCAGTGACCTATGTCACAGCAGAAGGCATAGCAAATCGTGTAATGGCATTGCATCACTGTAACAGCTGGCAAGCTTGAAGAAACAACCAGTGCTACTGCTAGTTTACACCGGACAATGTTGCGGTTGTCTATTTCAGGCCCATGTATCCCTAAAAGGCACATAAACAAACAGACACCCGCATGTCGGCACGCACGCACACACACACACACACACACACACACACACACACACACACACACACGCGCGCATGCACACACGCACGCACACCCACACCCACACACGCATGCACACACACGCACACACACCCACACCCACACACGCATGCACACACACGTACGCACATGTGAGTGCAGTCTATCTCACCTGTGCTTTCCAGTACTCGATTTTTGACGGCAGATATTGAGACACAAACTCGCTACCGAGAACGAGGTATGATAGAAGGTAGCATGCTGAAGCACCACATGCGGAGCACTGCAGGAACGACAAAGGAACGCACGTGCAACAGGACACACACACACCATGTATACGCCCGTCGCAAAGAGAAGCACAAAAAAAATCTGCAAATGCACTGGGATGTGCACCCACAGATGTTCTCTTATAGCAACGATAGCGGATCCGAATCCGAATGAAACAGATCAAGACAAGCGCCAGATAACTGTCTAATCCACACAACTGGCGAAGGCATGTGAATCGACCCCAAACTGCATCAACGTTGCCAACACAGCTGTGCATGCCAGTACCCTACTCACCAGACACACTAGGAAGAGTGCCAGTGGAAATGGGAATAAGTAACCCGACAGAACGCTGAGGAATATTGAGCCGGGAATGGCGAATGCTTGCAAGCTAGGATCATCACAAGAGTCAAGGAGACATACCACTCCATACCACATAACATGTGGGAGCTGTAAAAGTATATTATTATGCGTATGTGTGTGTGTGTGTGTGTGTGTGTGTGTGGTGTGTGGGCAAGTGTGTGCGATTAGGTGAGTACATATTGTCACGGTTCACAGAACTGAGACCATCAAGTCCACGGAATGGGGGGAGGTTGAAAGACAGAGCGAACTGGCACACGCGTGTGCACGCGCGTGTATCCGTACATGCGAGTGTGCATACGCGTGGACGGACTTGTGTGCGGGTGCGCGTACATGTACATGAAGATGTGCGTGCGTGTGTGCGTATGCGCGGGTGTGTGTATGTACGCGCGGGTGTGCATGCCGTGCGGACGTACGCTTGTGCATGCGCGTGCGTGCCTATGATAGGGACCATTGGGGGAAGGCACACACCGTGCTACACCGTGCTCAGCTTGTTTGCAGCAATCCGTGATCACAGGTCCTGCCAGACAGTGACCCAGTGTGATCCAAACACCATACACACAGAGGACAACACTTCCCATACATGTACTTCGGACTACAGTCTTACTATACAGGGAGGGAAACGCTTCACACACATACAAGAACGAAACTCAACACGTATTGTCGGTAGGCTCTGGGCAAGGATACAAGACGTAGACGCAGGCGTATCCAACGACCACCTGTGGAAAGTGAGTGTCGGTGTACATGGACAGCACGCGGCCCAGCTCTTTGGCATCATCCAGAGTTCGCGGAACATGTACGTGCTGCTTGTCCGACCTGCATACGGACACAGGAAACGAGATAAATTAATGGCGTCCATGTCACCAACAAGAGTACATAACCCCCAAGAGTGTGCAACTGCCTGCACAACCTATATACAGTGCTGCGGCGGCAGAACTTCACATCACGTGACATGGTTCAAAAGGTTACGCTGGCAAACAGTGCAAAGTGACCACGAGAGAGTTGAACTCAAAAGCAGGGTTGCGTACAACCCTGTACCTATCGTGCACAGGGTGCAAATAATGTGTACGAGTTTGTCACGTGATGTGAAGTTCTGCCGTCGCAGACCCCATAGCTGGAGTTGCACACCCTTGGGGGTTATGTACTCTTGATATCACTATTAGCCGCGGGACGTGTCTTCTGACTGCGTAGGCCATCATTTTATATATCTACGATTCGCGTCGTCCGGGCGCATGTTTCTTTTTTTTGGGAAAAAATCAAACATGCACATGTACAGTGAGTGTATGATGGTGCGAGTCATCACTCGCATGGACTGGTTGCATACGGCGAAGGATGGGATTCAGAAATGGCCTTGTTAGAGAAGTAAGGTGTCTCTCTCTCTTCCTCTCTGTCTCTCACCCACTTGTGTACGCGTGATGCATATGCGTGCGTGTTGTCTTGTAGTCTTCCACTCTGTTTGGACAAATCCATCGTAATTTATTGTACGGTAGTTGCACTGCACTGGACTTATATGGTGCTTTGGTTGCATGACTTCCTGCCCGCTCTGCAGCGCGGCACGTTCCGCCACTGTGTATTATTGTACACTGCTTTGGTTGACTTCCGGTGCTGCACTGCACGTGCAGCTGCACTCTGGAACGCGTGCAAGTCTTGTTATGTAGTATGCGTACCTGACCGACCCGGGGTCGTTGGGCATGCGTGTTTGCGCCGACCCGGGTCGTTGGTGTTTTGCTCTTAGTATTTTTCACATAGCTCTATGAATTTATTCCTTTAGAACCTTTCTAGACCCAGAAGAAGACGGTTGTGTTGTTTTGGCTGCGTGTCGTGCGGGCCAGTGAGTGCCGTGTGGGGTTCGTGAACCGCAGGGGCAAACAAGTTTAGTTGTAGTTTCGTAACATCTGGTGCCGAAACCCGGGACTCAGTGAACATGTCGATGAAACTAGACAACTTTCTGCGAGTGTTCCGCGGGAACGGGGATGACTGGGAGCGGTTTTTTGAGAAGTTCCTCGTGCTCGCCAGTATCCAGGGCTGGGACACGGAGACGAAGAGGATGAAGAGCCTGCCTCTTTTCCTCGACGGCGACGCGTTCCTGGTATACTCACGCCTGAGCGCCACGGACCGCAAGGTCCAGGGCACAGTCGTCTCGAAGATGCAAGAGTCGTTTTGTATCACGAAGGCCCAGGCCTACAAGTGTTTCACTCAGCGTCGGCTGAAGGTGGACGAGGCCGTCGACGCTTACATCGCCGATCTGCAGCGTCTGGCGGGGCTGGCTGGCCACGACGCATCTGATGATAAGGACCCGATGGTCGTCGAGCAACTAGTGTGCGGTCTTCCGGCGGAGTTTCAGCGCGAGCTGAGGCTGGCCATGGCCGGAAAAGAATACTCCGTGAGCGGCTGTACGGACCTGATCCGAGCACTGCGGACTGCTGCCACCGACGCTCGTCAGTCAGTACAGCAGCCCGTGGCTGCTGCGATGCCAGCATCGAGCGCCCAGTCGAGCGGCACCTCCACTGGAAACGGAGTGTGTTTTAACTGCCAGGAAGTCGGCCACATCAGGCGCAACTGCCCTCACCTGCAGCGGGGTGCACCACGGAGTGGCGGTGGACCAAGAGGTGGCGGTCGCCAGAAGGGCGCGACGCAGCTGAGTTGCTATTTCTGCGATGGCGTTGGGCACGTCAAGGCGGACTGCCCCGAGCGGAAGACGTGGCTAGCGCGCAAGAGGGGCGCAGCTGCCGCGGGAGAGGACGCAGCAGCACAGAGCAGCCACAACGACCCCTGCCTCTGCACGGTTGCTGCACGGTCTAGAGGTGCGCTGCCGCGCGTGTACATGGACATCCGACCTGCCGACGGTCCTGGCCAGGAGTGGGCGCGAGCGATGGCCGTCGTCGACACGTGTGCGAGTCACTCGCTCGTCTCTGCGAAGTTCCTACAGGCCTGCAACATCCCGTACAGTGATGACGTGTCCGTCGGGATGGTTGCCCTGGATGGTAGCGAGATCGACCTGATCGGCACCGTCAACCTTGACGTCCAGCGGCAGGACGGCCCTGTGTTTCTACCCTGTGTGTCTGTCGTGGCATGCGTGACGCGGAGCCTGGAGGTCGTTGGCACCGACGTGCTGATTGGAGCCGACATTGTGGCGGGTGTTGGTGGCGTGCAGCTCAGCTACGACGACAACGGTGTGCTGGACGGAGTGCGCTTTGGTCAAGCGAAGGAGCCTGCCGTTGTAGCCGCAGCCGCCGATAAGCATCCGTCGCGCCGTGTGACTGTCGAGCAGGACGGAGATGACGTCACCCTGTCGACGGATGACGGTCAAGTCCGCTGGGACAGCGTCGCACAGCGTTGGATGCTGACATGGGCGTGGAAAGACCAGCAGCCGACAGCTCCTGTTGGGTCCGGCATTGGCCAGTATGCGCGGAACAAGCTCACGGCGGAGCAGGAGTCGCTATTCTGTGACGAGGTCGACTCCTGGGTGGAGAACGGCTGGCTTGTTGAGCACGATCCGGCAGTCCATGGCGAGCCTGTTGCCGTGCTGCCCTTGCTGGCGAAGGCGCAAGAGCACAAGAGTTCCACGCCCGTCAGGCCTTGCCTGGACTATCGTGGTCTGAATTCGCTGATCAAGTCCAACCCAGGCACCGACGCCCCGGCCTGTGCAGAGAAGATCCGGAAATGGCGGTCAAGCTGCGACGCGGATTATCAGCTGGTCGACATCCGCAAGGCCTATCTGCAAGTGCACGTTGACCCGTCACTGTTGCGCTATCAAGTCGTCGTGTGGAACGGAAAGATGTATGTGATGACGCGCATGGGATTCGGTCTCTCCATCGCGCCTAAGTTCATGGACATGATCGTGCGCTGGGTCACGCGGAAGTGGCCTGGAGTCGACAATTACGTTGACGACATCCTGACGCCGGCGCAGATCCGCGAAGCCGTGGCTGCGGAGCTGCTACGCTATGGCCTGCCGACTAAGCCTGCCGAGTCTCTGCCGTCTGCCCGCGTGCTTGGCCTACAGCTGTCCACTTCGGCGGCCGACGTGGTCAACTGGGCACGCCGCGACGGTGCCGACCTCAGCTTCGACCGTCCGCTGACGAAGCGTGGCGTGTTCAAGTGGACTGGACGTCTGACCAGCCACTACCCGGTGTGTTCCTGGCTTCGCCCGGCCTGCGCGTGGCTCAAGAGGCTCGCATGCGCGGGGGATCACTGGGATGTTGCCGTGTCCAACGCTACCGTCCGGTGCTGCGAGGACCTAGAAGCGAAGGTCGCAAGCAGCGATCCAGTACACGGCGTATGGAACGTCCCGTCGACGGCTGTTGGCGACTGGGCCGTGTTCTGCGATGCGTCTGACCTGGCAGTAGGAGTCGTCCTGCAGCTCGACGGCAAGGTCATCGAGGACAGCTCGTGGCTGAGAGACGCGAACGACAGCAAGCACATCAACGTCGCTGAGCTTGACGCCGCGCTCCGCGGCTTGACGCTTGCTGCAGAGTGGAAGCTGGAGGCAGTTCGGCTGATCACTGATTCGAAGACCGTGTTCGGATGGCTGGAACAAGTCATCGGCAACGTCTGCCGTGTGAAGGTGAGCGGTCTTCACAAGGTACTCGTCCAGCGCCGCCTTCAAATCATCGAAGACCTGGTTGAGTCGACCGGCTTAGCTGTCAAACTGGAGTGGGTCCGATCCGAGCATAACCCGGCCGACCGGCTGACCCGCGTGCCGTCGGAGTGGTTAAAGTGTCAGAAAGTGGCAGCCAAGGAAACCGCCGTCGGAGCCGCCACTGTTCCAGCGGTAGTCGGCCCTGTGTCGAGAGAAGAGATCGCTAGAGGTCAGCTTGTTGATGCTGACATTGCTTCCGCTACTGAGCTGATCGAGGCTGGCACGCCTGAGTTGATCGCCGGTCCGTTCAAGAAAGTCAGCAAGCAGCTTGTGATCAACGATGGCGTCCTCTGCCGAAGCGTCAAACTGCCCGTCGAAGGCGTGGTAGCGGTGCCCGTGGTCCCGACCAAGCTTGTCCCGAAGGTCGTAAAAGCCGCCCATTGCGCATCTGGACATGCCAGTTGGGGCGCGATGTACGAGATGCTACGCAGTCGCTGTTACTTTCCGTCAATCGCCGAGAGCTGCCAGAGTCACTGCCAAAGCTGCGAGCGATGCAGAGCAGCCAGCGGGCAGAGAGGACCAGCAGCGCCGCAGACCAGAACGGAAGTCCCAGGCCGCCCGTGGAGTGTTGTGCAGATCGACACGCTGGAACTTGGTGCGGAGAAGAGCGGCAAGTTTAACTGCGTGCTTGTCTGTATCGATGAGTTCAGCAAGTGGGCTGAGGTTGTGCCTCTTCGCCGTCACGACGCGGAGTGTGTCGCCGCCGCGTTCACGACGATCTGCTGCCGCTGGGGTCCGCCGGACATCGTTCGCATGGACAATGGCACGGAGTTCAGGAACGCCATCTGCGATGCCCTCTTCCAGCAGTTCGGCGTGGAAGTCAGAACCGGAGCGGTGCGACACCCGCAGTCCCAAGGAGCTGCGGAGCGTATGAACAGGACACTAATCACCTTGATGCGGAAGGTGCTGTTAGAAGCGTCTGACTGGAAGTCTGAGCTGGAGCTCCTCCTCCTCTACTACAGGACGCGCCCGCACTCTGCAACCGGCGTTGCACCGATGGTTGCCATGACTGGTTGGCTGCCGCGAGATCTCATCGTTGCAACTGATCAGGAGGCGTGTAGCCTCAGCGCATGGGTGACGCGGCTAGGAGAGCGGACAGCCCGAGTTCGTGACCTCGTTGAAGCAGAGTTCTCTACGACCGATTCTGTCGTCGAAGTCTCTGAACAGTCGGCTTATGACGTAGGAGATGCCGTCCTGCTCCGTCAGCCGACACGGCAGCGCAAGCTGGCGCCGCTTTACGAGACCGGGTGGATGGTGAAAAGAGTCGTGGGCCCCTCGACCTTTGTCATCCGACACGTGAATGGCGGGGAGAAGGTTATCAATGCTGACCTTCTGAAGCCCTCGCCATCACAACCTGTCGCGGCTGGTGACCCATCCGACGGCGACGACACACTTGCCGAGCACGGCGTGGAGCCGATTGCTGGCCGGCAAGTCTACGGTCTGCGCGATCGTCGTGACGTCCGTCCCCCCGCTCGCTATGCGTGAGAGAGATCATACCTAGGGGAGGGGTGTTAGAGAAGTAAGGTGTCTCTCTCTCTTCCTCTCTGTCTCTCACCCACTTGTGTACGCGTGATGCATATGCGTGCGTGTTGTCTTGTAGTCTTCCACTCTGTTTGGACAAATCCATCGTAATTTATTGTACGGTAGTTGCACTGCAGTGGACTTATATGGTGCTTTGGTTGCATGACTTCCTGCCCGCTCTGCAGCGCGGCACGTTCCGCCACTGTGTATTATTGTACACTGCTTTGGTTGACTTCCGGTGCTGCACTGCACGTGCAGCTGCACTCTGGAACGCGTGCAAGTCTTGTTATGTAGTATGCGTACCTGACCGACCCGGGGTCGTTGGGCATGCGTGTTTGCGCCGACCCGGGTCGTTGGTGTTTTGCTCTTAGTATTTTTCACATAGCTCTATGAATTTATTCCTTTAGAACCTTTCTAGACCCAGAAGAAGACGGTTGTGTTGTTTTGGCTGCGTGTCGTGCGGGCCAGTGAGTGCCGTGTGGGGTTCGTGAACCGCAGGGGCAAACAAGTTTAGTTGTAGTTTCGTAACAGCCTCGAGGCCAGCGTTAGCAAATCGTTTGTTCGGTAACTGCGATCAGTATTCTGTGAGCAGGGGTATAATAACCCCCCCAAGAGTGTGCAACTCCTGATACCCTTTCTATGGGGTACGCCGACGGTGAAAACTCACATCTCGTGGTGCAGTGTCGCAGTTGTACGTTTCCAGCCCATTTTTAGCGAGCAGCGGAGTAATAAAAAAAGCACTCTCTGACAGAAACTCACTGCTGGTATGCAAAATCCCTACGCGGCATGATCATGGCAGATATTCGGATTGCGCGCACGCTATCCTT